TAAAAATTAGAAGAAGTGGCTGATTTTTGAGATCTAGAAAGTCAGGTAAGCGAGGATGGAAGGAGTAGTAGGGATATAAAGTAGAGGAAAGCGCAGGGTCGTGTTGCCTTTAATAAAAAGAAGTCACTTCTCTGCTTGCGAACGGTCAATTTAGAAATTCTAAAAAGGTTGTTAAAGGTGTATGTTTGGAGCACGACGCTGTACGGGTACGAAACATGGACAGTGGGCGCAGTGGAAAAGAAAAGGTTAGAAGTGTTCGAAATGTGGTGTTATAGGCGGATGATGAGGATAACGTGGGTAGAAAAGGTTAGAAATGAACAGGTATTAGAAAGAATAGAAGAAGAGAGGACTCTATGGAAGTCAATAAAAAATAGGCGAGATAGGTTGGTAGGACACCTCAGGCATGAAGGTCTAGTCAGAGACATATTAGAGGCGAAAACAGGAGTTAGGAGGGATAGAGGTAGACCTAGATTAGATTACTGTTCGCAAATAGTTAAGGATATGGGTTGTTCTAGTTTTAGGGAAATGCGAAGTTAAGCTCAGAATAGAAAAGAGTGGAGGTACGTGTCCAACTAGTCTTAGGATTGACGAGCTTATGAAGATGATGCATGTAAATATAAACCACAGCATTATCTTTTCAAAAAAACCCTTAAAAGAAAATTTGTCAGCTAAAATGTAGTAATAGGTAGTCAAAATGTCCTTACAAAGGTCAATATATGAGTTAGACTAGAATATTCGATACTTTGCTCATTTTCATTTCATTTGTTCCAGTCTTGGTGTTGGTCTTGGTCTTGGTCTTGATCATTTAATCTGATACTTACTTTTTTTTATAATTCTTCTAAGCCCAATTTTTTTTATATGTCGGTACAACAATTGTATTACATGCTGAAATTTTTCATCCTACATGCGAGCATGTCATGACTTAATGAAAATAGTGTCGATAGCTGTGAGAGTTATGAAAACTCGAAGCAGAAGAACATATTAAATACGAAATATTAATATGAAAATTCATTTTTCGAATTTTTTACCCACTACAAACTACCTCAGGTTAATGAAGGAAAATTGTTGCTGTTGTCACATCCTCGCCGGGAATCGAACCTGGGTGCTTTAGCTTTACGCACCAATGCTCCGACTACTAAGCTACGAGAGATGACAACAGCAGCAACGACAAACGTACTTATTAAGTCACAAATTTGTCTAACTAATATAATTATGTATACTACATATAACTATATATGTACTAACCACTACTAAAAATGTCAAAGTGTTTCATTAACATATTAAAGTTCCTTTATACAGCTTAACTCATAATCCACCGTAATAATGTTTCGTTTATCCGTTCGTTACTTCAAAGAGTGATTACCAAGAACTAGCAACAGATTTAGAAATAGGATTGATTAGATTTGAAAATAATGATTGTAACTATCAGAATGTTATCAACATAGTTCACTAATAACATATGTTCGCAGACTTTATCAAAAAATCTATTCACTCAAAATTCAAATGTTTCGTTTAGTCGTATTTGGTCTATTGTTGCATATTCGGTATTGGATTTAGTCTTGGTCTCCTTCGTTTGGTCTTGGCTTTAATCCTGCTAGTATAAAGACAGTTTTGGACGCAAGATCAAGACTAATTTTACTCACTATTTCATTTGTTGATATTTTTTAGTAGAATTTCTTAAAAATACTGTACCTAAAAGAATTTGTCGAATATTCTTGAATGTTTTAGAATATTGTAGGAGAAATTTTGAAAGGCGTAATAATGTATCGAATATTCTAGAATATTGTAGAATTTTCTATGAATGCTTTTCACGAATGTGTCGAATACTATCGGAGAATTTCGAAAAATGCTCCATGAAATGAGCCAGCAGGATGACGTGAAACATTAATAACAACGATGCGACTTTTAGCCAAATGTTCAGAATCGTTTTTTGAAGATTTGATTTGATTTAAATTCTAGAATGCTCATCCCCTTGACTTTTTAAACGAACCAAACCAAGCGGCGACTGCATGGATGCATCTGTTTGGAACAAAATAACTATCCTTGTCAAAGAAGAGAATGAGACACTTCATTGATCGTAATGCTGCAATTAATAAACGAGAAAATTCCATAGGACTCTCTAATAAAGTACCGTAGCAATTGCCGTTCCTCAGGCCAAAAATTCTATGCCTAATTTTAATTGACCTTAAGCAGGGCATTACTCTGTAAAAATTTATTCCTCTTTTACTCCTGTAAATATAAAGTCATCTTATTCAAAAGTAAATTAAACACAGAGAGGAGATTTGCTTCATCTTAGTCCTTCTCTTATTAAAAGAAAATCACAAAAGGCTGACGATTGAAATTTTCGGGAGACTATAATCATTAGGACAGCAATATTAAGAAAGAAGTCATTCAAAGTTATTCAATTGGAGTGTCGCAGTTGAAAAGTAATTGAAGCTGAACTTTTCTTGCTGTTAATGGGAATGGGAAATGATTATTGTTTTAAAAAGCGTCATCCACTTAGGTATCCTTTAAAAGGTAGGCGCTTCTTTAAATTTATTTAAGAAATTTGTCGGTACGAAGCCATTAAAACTAAAAAAATACTTGATAAAGTTTTAAAAATGGAGAAACGTTCAAAGTTCAAAGCTCAATCGATCCTGTTTCGATAAATTTCGAAAAAATACCGCCCAATCTAACGTGTCACATATGCATTTAGACAAAATTCAGCTTTCAAATGCATATTCAACGACCATGATTCCCGTTACCTACAACAATCTACATCATATTCAAAAATTTATGTGGGGGGAGCCTCACTACATTGTAAGTATCTGGAATAGCAATCAGGCAATTTAAATACAAAACAAACTATAATACTTTAAAATTTTAAAATAAACTACGCCAATGATATTTTCAGTCATCTAGTTAGGTAGTCAAATTCCTATAATATTTGTTGATTGTAAACTAAATGTCCTTAAGTAACTGCTAAAACAACGAGATCAATTTTTTTTATATTATGAATGAATTTTTAACTAAGATTTATTTCAATTTATCGCTTATCTATAAAAAAAAATTGGATTTCCTTTGACAACAAAAGTGTCCTTTTTAAAAACCCCTGCAGGACGACCCCCGGACGCCCTTCAAACTGGGACAAATCCGGGGAATCCCGGACGGATGGCAGCACTATGCTCACACCTGGTGGGTATTCATTCTATTTGAGTAGGTTTCCTCAAGGTCAAATCTCTAACCGTTTGAAATAAGTTGTAAAATTAATTGACTACGATACCGGACGTAAAAGCTTACTTTGATGTAACTCTAACCGCAGAAACACTTCCTGTTATGGGGTTCATTTGATTAACGCCAAAGAGGAACAAAGAATGCAATGGACAAGAAACTAAATATTGTTTTGTTTCTCCGTGTCACCTCCTAAACAAAGTGTGATGTACTGATGTATTAAATTACACCTAGATATGATTAAAAAACATTAACGATGAAACAGGAAACCAATCATGAGACTTTCGATTGACTAAATAACTATCTGGCCTAAAGAATTAGTTTAGATTTTACTTTATCATTTGGAACGACACTGATAGGATTTTGGATACGACCATCCTGGTTTAAATTTTTCTACGGTTTAGTCAAGTAAGACTGGTTCCACACGCACCTCCACTCTTTCCTATCCTGAGCTAATCTTCGCATTTCCATAAAACTAGAACAACCCACATCCTTAACTATTTGTGAACATTAATCTAATCTAGGTCTACCTCTACCCCTTCTAACTCCCGTTTCTGCCTCTAATATGTCTCTGGCTAGACCTTCATGCCTGAGAAAGTGTCCATAGAGCCCTCTGTTCTCCTACTCTTTCTAATACCTCCTCATTTCTAACCTTCTCAATCCACGGTATCCCCATTATTCGCCTGTAACACCACATTTCGAACGCTTTTAACCTTTTATTTTACGCAGCGCCCACCGTCCATATTTCGCACCCGTACAGCGCCGGGCGCCAAACATATACCCTCAACAATCGAATTTCTAAATTAACCGTTCGCGAGCATAGAAGTGATTTCTATTTATCGAAGGCAGCTCGACCCTGTGCTATCCTCTACTTTATATCCCTAGTACTCCTTCCGTCCTGACTTATCTGATTTCCTAGATAGGTACCTAAAATTAGCAATTTCTTCTAATTTTTCGTTCTTTCCCTACTTTTTCTTCCCCTGCATACCAGTGTTTCTGTTTTACTTTTATTTACTTTCATACAGTACTGTTCTGTATGTGAGTGCCCCCTCACTTTGATTTGACAAAATGAAAGCAGGCGTTTACAGTCGATCAGGGTCAAAAATGATGTCTTACAGTAAAAAACATATTCCTTCCTCCAAAAAATGGTACATATGGGTGGCGCTCAGACCTCAAACATACTTGTTATCTACAGAAGCATATTTTTTAAATAGTTTATTTAAGAAACGTACTTTCAAAAAATTTTAAGGGTTTCAGTTTTTGACTTTCTGCTGTCCGGAACTGGACCACGGTCCGCCAGTTACCGACCGTTGCTATGGTACATTTTCATATTTAGCATAAACAGGCACACCAATTTCCAACAGTATAAAACAAAGGCAACATTTCCGTACTATTTACTTATGATTTATAAATATTTGCGCAACACATACCTTTTTCTCAATTCAACTGTGTATTCTGCTTTTATTCAGTATTTATTGGAAAAAAGAATTTCCACCTTCTATTTTTTCTGTTTGTAGTAGAAAACATACATACATAAATATGTCATATTTATGTGAAGTAAGAGATCGACAGTCTTGTACAGAACATAAAATATTAATGTTATTGTTTACGATTTACGTACTTTCCTGTTCAAGTTTCTTGTATTTCTTTTATCTTTTTTCTCTGCTTTCGAAAAGGACAAGAACAACTGACTCTCTGTATAAATAATTCAGTTTCACGACTGGAATGACTGTAACATTAAGTATTAAAGTTTTAAAAGAATAGTAACAATGTTATCCGTTTTTTTACAGAGATCAAGGCACCACAGGGATTCCATTAGTTACAGTCCTTCAACAACTTTTATGCCATTGTTGGAAACAAGTAAGCCGAATATTCACTTTTTGTTCTGCTTATTAGTTTGTTGGGTAATTCTAGACTTATAAAATTATGTTTTATTTTACGTTAAAGTAGATTTAAATTAGCATAGCAATTACAAAGAATCTGGGATTCTATTATAACAATTCCAAACTCAAAGCGGATTTACAAAATGAAAACTTTGTACATGAGACAATCTTCAATAAAAATACGAAATTAAAATCAAAACGAGAAGAGGTAAAACTTTTGTTTTTAAATTATATGGGTAATTGGGATTTTTTCGGTGTGTTTTTTATCCAATACGTCATTGAGTAGAGCTTTTACACAAAAACTCATTTTTTAAGAACAAGTTTTTCAATTTCAGTTTTTCTATGAAATAAGTTTCGAATAGTAACGAATAAAAAAAGGTATATCTACAGCATAAAATAGGGATGTCTAATTTTCTTTTATTTGTAATAGTTTAATACATAAGGTGCCTATATATATGTATGTATATACGGGATGCAACAGAAATAAGTACCGAGTTTTGGAGGGTGCAAACTGGGTACTGAAATAAGAAAACTCTGCAGCTAGATACATGGAGAAGTAAATTGCCGCCAAGACTGTATAGATTGCCAAAAATACACAAAGCAGTAGTACAAAGTACCACTGGTTCACCAATATACCACTTGGCTAAACATTTGACCACTTAGTTGGCTCCGCACGTAGGAATCTCCGAACATCACATTCGAAATTCAAAACATTTCACCGATAATCTGACCAATATCAGATTAAATGACTCTGACATCCTAGTCAGCTTCGATGTAGAATCATTATTCACGAAGGTAGCACTAAAGGATACATTGGAACTACTACAGACGCGTTTTCCCGATGATGAAGTCGCACTATTCGAACACTGCCTGACGTCCAGCTACTTCCTATAGAACCAAAATTTCTGCAAACAAATCGACGGGGTAGCAATGGGTAGCCCACTTAGTCCACTAATCCCAAATTTCTACATGGAGTTCTTTGAGACGACTGCCTTAGAGACTTATTGGCATCGATGATACTTTCGTCGTATTGCCACATGGAGAGGATAAGCTGAACAATTTTTTAGATCACCTGAATAGCTAGCATCAAAACATATGCTTCATAAAGGAACAGGAGAGAGATGGAAGAATTGCGTGAAAACAACTACTACAGGCCAAGTCTACCGGAAAGCCACACATGCAGATACATATCTGAACGCTGCTTCCAACCACCATCCACCCCAAAAAAGGACAGTCATCAAAACACTGGTTAACAGGGCTAAACTCATCGCAGACAAGGAACATGTACAGCCGCAAGTGGACCCCTACAGAAAGCTCTACAAGCAAACGGTTACAGCTACAGTGAAACCCAGAGAGTAATACATCCTAGAAGCCACCACAACGAGAAGTACACAATGACTGATAAGGAAAAACTCGCAACTTGTCTTCTTTATATTCAGAATATCACGGACAGAATAGCTAAGATTCTTGAAAAAAAGGGAATAAAAACAACATTTCTACCCACTCACAAAATTCAAAATGAACTACGATCAGCAAAGGATCCACTACTAACACCAGGAGTTTACCGTATACCCTGTGAATGTGGTAAAAACTACATTGAGATGACGCAACGCAGCATATTGACAAGGAGGAAAGAACACGAAAAATCAGCTATAGATCAACAGGCGCTTGAGGAAGGCCACACCATACAGTTCAAAGATACAACTGTCCTGATTAGAATGTCGTGATTCTACAATCTAGCTAGAAGGGAGGCTTTGGAAATTGAACAACATCGTAATAACATAAACAGAGATGATGGCTCACATATCAACAAAGCTTGGAAACCGACATTGAAAAATAAATAATGTGCTACCAACTGAAGAGGACCGGATCAACATAAAACCATAAAACTCTAGTACAAGCTCCAGGTAACCCGTTCTCAAACTGCGTCAGATACGACTCAGCACTTGCCCAGCCACTACTGAAGATGCCGTCTATCAAAGAACGCCGGCCGTGAAAGCTTAAGAACTACAGTAAATAAACAGTAGCGAAAAGATACAAAACAAATACTACACTAATAAAATAATTCGAAGTGGTCTGTATTCTGTCGACACTGGAGCATACGTAATCCTAAAATTTAGCATCGTACTACAGATGGCGTTTACCGCGCCATTTGTGGTATTTTCTAAAACGCGCTGTTAAGACAGCAGGTAAAAATTGGTCTGTAATGTAGCATCGTACTACAGATGGCGTTTACCGCGCCATTTGTGGTATTTTCTAAAACGCGCTGTTAAGACAGCAGGTAAAAGTTGGTCTGTGTCATGTCGGAGCTGTCTGCGACGAGCTGATGAGATCCAAAAAGATCGAAATCGCGATCCGCGTCTGGCAGTTTCGATAGAATACAGACCACTTCGAATTATTTTATTCGATTATGGTAACGTGCCTATCACGTTGAGGTTAGCTACGCCGGGANGTTCTCGTCTGTTACCAAAACATACGAATCCCAAGATGAAAAGTGTCCTAGGAAATCGCTTATATAAATTCGAATAACTTCACCTTTCCCTATCGGATCACTACGTATAGCTTTCAACTTGTGATATCTAATAATATTTAATTTTTATCGTTCTTCTTAAAATGATCAGTGCTGTCTTGGTGTGACATTACGTTACAGTAAAGTTTGTATAGATACTTATTATTTTTTTTCTTATGTATGGTTACCATACTACATTACTTAAACCACTATTTTCTATTATTTTGTAAAACGGAGAATTTCCCGTTGATTTTATAAAGAAATAAATAAATGATCAAAGGAAATCAGTATTAAACTTATTTCAATTATTAGTTTTGGTAGTATAATTCAGGTGTAATAAATATATCGCTTGTACATTACAATATGTGCACCCATCTCTATTTTTAATACATTATTTTTCCAAATTTTCCCAAAACTATCAGTCATGTTATCGAATGCCTGTATAATTTATAGTTAAATAAATGAGAATTTTATAAATTGTGATCCCAGCTATTTGTTTTGTGTATCGTATATGTGTACATTTAGGAAATTTTTCTCATCCCAATGCCCTGCTTTCCGTTTCGCAACATGGGTGTAAGTTTCAGACCGGTTTCCATTACCGTTTCTTCTTGCTAAAGTAATCTCCTAAGTCCACCTATAATCCTTTTTAACACTCAGGGAACAGAAGGCCTTTTTATAAACCAATATCGATTTACAGTTTTTCCCAAACACCACCGATTCGAATCACATGAACTTGTTACTGTTTTATTTACTATTTTGGAGAAACGACAATTTTTAGCTGAAACTGAAAAAAGTTACTTACGAGTACTTACATGCATTACATATATGTATACATATACTTATTACTTAACTTAACGTTACAAATAGTTATGTCTTACTCAAAAATTATTGCATGTATAATTTTATATACTATGCAATGGCAGAATGTGCGAAATAATGCGAATAGAATAGAAAGAGGCCGAGCACATTAGAAGTTCATAATAACAAAACGAGAAAAAGATAATAATTGACGATGGGCTGGGTAATTTAATAATCGATTATTCCAGTTTATTGATTCTTCTAATCGATCGTTTTAACAAACTTAAAATAATGGATTATTAAACGATTAATCGGATAACTTGGCAAGCCCTAGTTTGTATAATGTAATACAACCTAGTACCAAAGAGAAAATACTGATTATTAATTTTTTGGCTGCTCTAAATAGACAAGTGTTATGGAACTGTTTGAAAATGCATTTTATGAAATTAATCATTGCTTATTAAACGCTAGTGCACCAACAAATTTTTGTCATTAACTTAAGAAAATCTGTAGTGGCAAGAAATTAACTTGATTTCACGTTAATATTTGATAACTATTAAAATATTAACCGCTACTAAAAGTAGAAACTTTCTTAAAAGTGTTGATATTAAAAAAAAACAAACGTGCAATTATACAACACGCTACTGAAGTGAAACTTCTTCAAACACACAAACATACCGGGATAGGGGTTAAGAAATTGATTTAATGGTATTATTTGTACATTATGAATTTAAATTTTACACTATACATGCCGGAGTTGCCTGTAACGAACGTTGCATTGAAGCGCGCATACGGCTCAAGCGATCCCCACTACGAACTCGACTACGTGGCCGAGCAGAGGGGGGACATCCGTTGCATGATTTCGTTACATAGCAACACGCATGAAACAAACTTACCCTACCGTGCGTAATGTTTCACTTCAAAAATTAGTCTCACAAAAATGGAGTTCTCGTATCAACAAGATTGGGAGTTATACCCTCTAAGCTCCCTCTAAAAACGGTAGTGTTCTTGGTATTTCATAAACGTAACGATTGTAAACGTAGAGTAATACAGATAGCTAAATAAATTGATAGAATTATTTATTATTTCAGATCCTTGTCTAGTGCATTACTGCATGAAAGGAAGAGAGTGCGTTTTAACCTCAGAAGGCGAAGCAACGTGTGTGTGTCAACGTCATTGTGGGACTCACAGGAGACTTGTCTGCGGTTCAGATGGTCACATATATCCTAATCATTGTGAACTTCATCGAGCTGCTTGTCTCACTGAAACCGCAATCACCATTGAACATGGTGTACATTGCATCAAACATGGTAAAATTTTCAAATATTTTGATATAAAGAAGAATTATTAAAGTAGAAGCAATTTTTCAAATGTCATTAAAAGACCAAACCAAAGACTCGCAAAACATGGGTCACGTTTATCTACAGTTTTCACTTAACACGTTTAAATAATGTAACGTGAAGGAAATTTCTGAAAGATTTCCACATGTTTCACGTTTTTAATGTCAAGTAATCTACAGGTAAACATGAAAGGTGGGTGATTTATCATAGTATAAGTCCATTACGTACTACAATTTTTTCTCAGTATTCCAAGTCGGAAATTGAGACTTCCTTTCATCATAGTAATCATCATAAGGTCGTCAGTCCTAAGACTGGTTGGACACGCATCTCCACTCTTTCTTAACCTGAGTTAATCTTCGCATTTCCATAAAACTACAACAACCCATATCCTTAACTATTTGCGAACAGTAATCTAATCTAGGTCTACCTCTACCCCTCCTAACTTCCGTTTCTATCTCTAATAAGTCTCTGAATAGACCTTCATGGCGGAGAAGGTGTCCTACTAACCTATCTCGCTCATTTCTTGTTCACTTCCAAAAAGTCCTTTGTTCTCCTATTTTTTCTTATACTGTTTCATTTCTAACTTTCTCTATCCACGGTATCCTTATCATTCGCCACACACACTGTCCATGTTTTGCACCCGTACAGCGCCTTGCTCCAAACATACATCTTTAACAACCTTCTTCGAATTTCTAAATTAACCGTTGGCGAGCACAGAAGTGACTTCTGTTTATTGAAGGCAACTCGACCATACGCTATCCTCTGCTTTATATCCCTGCTACTCCTTCCGTTCTGACTTATCTACAGGCCTGACGCTGGAAGCTGGCGGAAATTTTAAAATGGCGTGGATACGCGGTGGCAAAAGTAGGCAGTTTTAGGTATAACGATTGCAGCCCTCTTTTTTCAGTATTCCTATCAGGGGCGTATATTAAATATTTAAAAATAAGGATCAGTGAGCAAGTAATAGACAGACAAACAGAAGAACTAATTATTGATGTTGGTGACAGTGATAGAGATTCCCATGATGACAGTGAATGTGAAAACTAACTATAAAACAAAAGCAATAGGTT